GAATTTGACCACTACAAGCTATAGAATAGTTCACATTGTTGGGATTAAATTTTTTCTTTATACTTTTTTAAAAACTTTTTCTTCTTTTTGATAATTAAGTATTGGTAAGGGGAAGGTATTTCTATCATTCATAAAAGATTATAATCAGTCTCGCTCTGGATCAGCTAGAGGGAACTGATGCATAGAATAATGAGCACCTAGCACCACTGCATGCATGGGCTGGTGGTGAATTGGAATAAACTATGTGCTCACAGTAAGCTAACTCATACTATGAATTTGTAACTTCTTTTTAAACAATAAACTTTGAATCAGTCGTTTAGCAAATGTTTATCCGTGTTGTGTAAGAATTAACTTGTATTACCACCTGTAAGTGGGATCTCATTGACACATTTCAAGTCATTAACAGAGTTTTAATTCATTAACAGAAGTGTTGTTTGATTTACGTAAAATAAGTTTATTGATAGTCTGCAAGGTCTTTCGAGTAGAATTACCTTATCATTTATTCATATTTAGAACGTCTATAGTTCCTTAGAAGTTCGGTTGTTGAATATTACGTAATCCTTGTAGGCATTCCAGTCAGTCTGGATTCGTTGGTTATATCGCTCTTTGATGTCACTGAATCAGCTTTGCTGCTGATACTAATAAAAGCAACTCAAAACAAAATTAACTCCTTAATCTGGGCAATCAAGTAAAGTATATAGTCTCGCGATAGATGATATTTCAGTTATTTGTCTCTGCGTTTTGGGCGGATAGACTGCGTTGTCACTTGTCAGTCTACGGTTTTGTTTGTTTTTCTTTTCTTTTGCATGGTTGATACTAGCATTTGTTTATTGAGCATTTATATGCAGGCAGGGAGTAATCACAAGCTGCGCAACCTATGGCGATTTAGTATAAAGAATTTCGAATCCCCCGTTATGATCTTGTTTGCTTTTCATTCAAGCTGTATCACCATGTTCATTTGAAAGTCGTGCTAATGACCTCAGCACAATGGGACCCCTTATAATTAGTCTTGAACGTTCTTATGTCTGAAGTTTATTCAAGGAGGTTCCCGCATGAAGGTGATACGCATATACGGTCATAGACAATGGTTTCATATTGTTCATATTTTAGCTTTTCATGCTCACATACGTAAACGTCTTTTCTTACAAAAAAATGGAACTAGAATTATTTTGAAATTGTTGACAATTATTGAATTATTGACAGCAGTCAACTGCACATGCTCAATGCTAATATTTATACTCTGGTTACAATACTAGTTTCACGAATATCAACTTAGATCTTATTAACCGAGCGGGAGGTCTGTACGGGATAATCTTGACCGAGGTCTGTACCCGACCGAGGTCAAGATTATCCCGTACAGACCGACCAAGCTCGGTTGATAAGAGTTTTATTATATGACCACTTTTCACTGAAAAGGACAAAATGTTTTCGCCGTAAGATTAATATGCGTTCGGACCGGTTAATACCGGAGAATCTAGACCAGTCCTCGATGCGATCTATCCAATCAAATTGCTCGATTTGCTAGTGTCCAGGCTCTAAGATTCACGGTCATATAATAAAAATTGTTAACATTGAATGGAAAAGACTTCAAACGCGGTCGTTGGAAGAAGAACTTGAATCTGATACCTTTTCACACGAAAATCTGTACCTGCTCATTTCAAGCCGGTGTTTTTTTGTAGTTTCACTCTTATATAATTAATATTAAATTGGATGTTTACATAACGTACGTGATGTCTGAGCCTTATATTAGGCCGCGTCTGGTGAGTGACCATGCGTGGAGTCATATGATTAGCAATCACTAGCTCATTCTAAAAATATACACTAGTAGAAAGAAGGCTAATTTGTAAATTTTAAACTATGCAAATATCAGTTATTTGTCTCTGTCTTGGGGGGTTAGCCTGCTTTAAGCAGGCAAGCAGGCAAGCAGGCAAGCAGGCAAGCAGGCAAGCAGGCAAGCAGGCA